GCCATTCACTGAATTATTTTCTTTGGGTTATCTACTGTTAATAATTTATTGTATATTAAACTATAAGGAGAATAAGTGAGATTTGGTTTTACTTGTATCCTGAGAACCTCTGTAATAAAGAATAGCCTATAAAAATATCTATATGCATCTTGCATACTTATAGGTCACATAGATGTTAAAATATCTGGGTCCTTTATAGATTACATTGCCCGATCTTTGCTTGTAGATCTTTCCAGCAAGGTCTGTGTGATTATCAAATTCATCCTAGGAAACTTGGGATGTTAGAGGAGAAACGAAAGAAGAACAAAATGAAAAATACAAACCCAAACAAAAAATGTCATGTCTAGAAAGCAACACAATTACTGTTTTGATTTGTAGGGTTGTATGGTAATTAGAGCAATAAATTTTATCATAAAAATATTAAACATAGGGTAGATATGGTGATTTTAGGTATGTGACACAATTTGTTCACTTTTACTAGCCACATTATGTCCCATATGCTCTACTTGTACTTGGTCTAACAAAGGTAGGACACCAAATAATTTTATCAAATTATCAGAAATTCATTCTCTGAAATTTTAAATCAAATTAAGTCACTGAAATAAACCCATTCACTTCTAGAAATATCTAAGGAAAATGGAAAGCAGAATTTAATGTTGAAATACCAACTCTGTTTTTAATGCTTAACAAGCTCAGGCCCCCTGGTGCTTCTTCCTCAGAGGAAAAGTGAAGCTTTGGCCAGCCCACCAGCAGACAGTTCAATAAAAGCCACTTTCTTTGCTCAGTAAAACCAATGCAAAGGCAGTCTGTTGGAAAACCGATGCTTTTGTAAAGTGGAAAACTCAGCAGAAGGATGAAATTTTTCCATTTCAGGTAGAAAACTCTTTACACAGCCTTTCCATCCATTTGGTCAAAATTGAAGTTTTTAGTTTTATGAGACATTGAAGGGTGAAATTAAGGCTTTACTAGCTTTGACGCCCCTACTGTGTGGAATTTGAGAGAAAAGGCCTCTGTTAGGTCACATCTTCTACTCAAATTATTAGATTTCTGCTCCAATCCCACAAAAGCGACAATGAATTTTCCATGTCTTTCATGTCATTTATAGGTATGGAACATATATAAACATTAACTACTAATCTTTAGTTGTGATGATTTAAAATAGATTTGATTAAACCCAAATAACTCATTGAGCACAAATTCCTAATCTTCCAGCTTATCTGCTTCATTGCTTTAATCGCCTATCTACACATACACCTGTTCTGCCAGCCCATCATGACCTCCAGCCCATCACCTGAAAATATCTGCCACTTCTCTTACTATTGAGTTTAAATACCAACATCCACCATTTCACTTTCTTGCCCTACAATAATCCACAGTTCCTCTCGATCCAAAATACACCTCACCAGAAAAACATCAGTCTTACTTTTAACAGAAAGAGATTCCTGCCTCAGCACACATTTGGCCCTCCTCCCACCTTACTGCAATAGAAGAGGTGACCCATCCTATTGTGGCCAATTCAACCATCTATTCAGAAAACCTGAATCATTGGTGGTGTCCTTTCCAACTCTACCTCTCTACTCATCTGCATTAAAAAGGCTCAGCTTTCTTAAAAAAATACAAAAAAAAAATACTTCACTAGCCAATATAACTCTTATTCTATTTGTTTTTTAAATTTCACAAATATCTCAAAATAGTAATCTGTGATAGTTTCTTTCATTTCTTCACCTTCCACTCTCTTATTCCATTACAGTCTGGCCCCCCTTCCCCAGCAGGTTTTTACAAACCATTAGGGCATTTTCTGTCTTTGTCACTACTGTATCCCCAGAGGCAGAGGACGTACTTAGTATCATTTCACATTCAAAAAAATCTAGTTAACTGATAGATTAATTGTATTAACTACTGATGTTACATCATGTGTAATTGAGATATAGAACTACACATCTCTTGTTATCAATGTCATTTTTGAGAACTATTAGGTCACTTCTCAGGCAGGGAAATTCCTACTCAATGTGTTCTCATAAACAGGATAAAATAGACCGGTTGTATGAAGACAGGAAACAGGGAAGGTAAAAACTATTGAGCATAAGCATCTAAACTCCAGTAGGCAGAGACTAAGTCTTTCTTACTAACACAGTATCTTTGGTGCCTACCAGAGTGCTTTTGCATTATAGGTGTTCACAGATATTTGTTGAATAAATAAGTAAACGCTTAAATAGGATGGAACAACTATCATGCATCACACATTAATTTGTAATATAAATGATCATAGCTAATGCTCTCAATATTTCTAGAAGGACTTTTAATTGGGAATCTGGGACTTGAGGTTTAAAAAATCTTATCCAGATTCTGGAACCAATATATGCCTGACTCTGTCCATACCGTTTTTTCCTGCACCATACTGTTATCCATTACACATACTGACTTCGTTTATCTTAGGCTCAAAAATCTCCAGGTAGTACAAAAAATTGAAGTTTCCTACAAACTCTAACCTTTGACTCCTTCATCTACGGAGCTTTGTATAAGCCATTGGCAGGAGATTATTGTTTGACATGTGAAAAGCTTAAAGAACAAGCTAAAATTTAATATTGTCCTGATTCATTTATACTTGATATTTCAAATTTCGCTTAAGGTAATGATTTGTAATTTTAAATTTAGAAAGAATTGACCATGCTGCACATTAATAAGTACCACTCCATAAAGAAAAGTAATGAACACAAATTAAACTTGAGTAAACCTTGGAAGGAAAATCATCTCAAAAGAGAACTGCATCTTAAAACAGATATGTAGAAAAGGCAGTGACACAAAATTATTCACTTCATAATGAAGTTTAATAATAATGGCCATTTATGGAAATTATGACAATCCTAATCATTATGGAAATATTTTAATACCTTTCATATTCATGACTTCATGCACGTGAGATAACAATTACTAACTTAGTCAATTGAACAATTATGTCTATTGGAGTTGTTCTAAAAGAGAATTATAGTCTTTCTAGCTCTTGTCTCCTTTTAGAAAATTTCAATTCTATCTTGTCTTAATGCATGTTTTATAAATAATTATAGGTATTTGATCTCATAATCTGATTCATCATTGCTGGTCTAAAGAAATAATAGATGTTTTAAAAGCCAGAATTTCTGATTAACATAAAATTGTAAATATTGGTGCTATATTTGATTAAACAGTTTAAAATTTAAAAAAATTATGTTTACATTTTCTCTTAGTTTCCTTTCCCAGGTTACATTTTGAAAATTTCATAGTTCTTACAGATTTAAAAGATAATCTATATTGTTATAGCCATTATTATACTATCCAATATTCAAGAAAAGATCATGAAGTGTTTGTGCATTACCTTTCTTACCAAATGTTAGCAAAAGCCATGATACATCCATCTTGGCTTTCTTTTCACCCTGATTTTTTTTTTTATTGAGTTTTAACAATATTTTGCTAAATTTTTATTCCCATCAGAGGAAACGACAATTAATTTATAAATGTAATATCAATCAGAATATTTCGCCTTAAATGGTTTATAAAAAGTAAAGAAACGTTAAGAGGTTGGTATTTTATGCACCCGGTCTCATAGCTTTTGTATAGATGATACACTACCAAAAAGTGAATTATTAGAAAGACACATATCCACTATAATGTGCTCCTCGATGTAACTGTTCACTAGGGGGCTTCATGGTAGGGGAATGATAATTGGTAGGTATGTTTACGGACCACTGTTCTATCTTCCAAACAGACACTGGCTCAGAGTGATAGCTTCCTTCCACTTTTTAAAAATTAGTGATACTCATCTGAATTAGTAACCAAATATACATAGAAATACAAGATGAAATCATTGATGCTAGAGCCCTGGAACAGTACAGAAGCATAGTAAGTGCTCTATTCTTGTAGAATAGAGAAATGTCATAAACATTATAAAATGGAGCAGGGTTCATTGTCAGAAACCTCAGGAATAAACACTGAAATGAGATGGCTTACCTGCTCCGGACGTGATGATGTCCCCATCCCCCAGTGGAGGATGTGACGAGATGGGAAAAGGAATTCGAAGGAGAGAAAAGCAGCTAGAGGAAGCTCCCCTTAAAAGGGGGCTGGAGGGAGGAGGAAAATGGAGAATTGCTTCATCAGTTCCTTTAAGCTACCACCTGCACATCGTTTCCAGTATTACTTCTGCGGATCCTGGTGGGTGGGGCATTGTAACTGTTAAAATCAAAAACAACTGGAGGTTAGCCTTGAAAATTCCCACAGCTAACAAAACCGGGTTAGTCTCAAATACAAAGCTTAATTTAGCTTATTTTGCAAGACTAACTCATCTCTTGCTTATGCCTCATAAGCAAAACTTAAGCTGTTTCCCAAAATTGATGAGATAACCACTAACCAATTCCCAATCACTTAAGAAAACTCTAATATTATAACTAACCACTGTGAAGACTAATCAGTCGCTACCTCCTCCCTGTAGAAGCTGCTTTACAAAAAGATACCTCTGAGCCTCATTCCATGTTTGGTTTGAGTGCCCCTGGTTCAGGAATGCTATTTCTGCTGTGTGCACAATGAACTTTTACTAATGAGTGCTGGGGGGATTCACTGGTTTTACTTCCACTATTTCTAAACTTTTTTTAAAAAAGATTTTATTTATTTATTTAACAGAGAGAGAGAGACAGCAAGAGAGGGAACACAAGCAGAGGGAGTGGGAGAGGGAGAAGCAGGCTTCCCGCGGAGCAGGGAGCCCAATGCGGGACTCAATCCCAGGATCCTGGGATCATGACCTGAGCCGAAGGCAGACGCTTAACGACTGAGCCACCCAGGTGCCCCTGTTTCTGAACTTTTGACATAATGTAGGGTTCCAACTTCCTAGAGTAGCTATGCAGAGCGCAGAGGAGCAGGGTCTCATTCTGAAGTCATTCACTGTGTCATCATTTAGGGAAACAGCATCTCTAGGTAGAGAATGTACAACCCAATGAAATGAACCTCGACTTGGGAAATCTTGGATTTTCGAGCTAGTCTGTTGGGAGGGGGCTAGGAAAGTGCTGGGTGCCTGTAGACTTGGCCCCCTTTTGTTCTTGCAGCATTACCACACTCTGGCTGCACATGAGAAGCGTTTCAGGTGGGGGCGAGTTAAAAAATATAGCACTGCAACAGGCCAGAGGATTTAACGATGTCTGAGTATCTCCTTTTTCTTTTTCTTCCTGTATAATTAATATACAGGGTTATATTAGCATCAGGTGTGCAATATAGTGATTCAACAATTCTGTACGTTACTCAGTGCTCATGATAAGTGTACTCTTCATCCCCATCACCTATTTCACCCCTCCCCCACCTGCCTCCCCTCTGGTAACCATCAGTGTGTTCTCTACAGTTAAGGGTGTGTTTCTTGGTTTGTCTCTTATTTTCTTTGTTCATTTGTTTTGCTTCTTAAATTCCACATATGAATGAAATCATACGGTATTTGTCTTTCTCTGATGGCTTATCTCACCTAGAATTATATTCTCTCGATCCATCCATGTTGTTGCAAATGGCAAGATTTCATTCTTTTTTGGCTGAATAATATCCTATTGTATATATGAATATACACCACACCTTCTTTATCCATTCATCTATCGATGGACACTTGGGATGTTTCCATAATTTGGCTATCATAAATAATGCCGCAATAAACACAGGGGTGTATACATCTTTTCAAATTACTGTTTTCATTTTCTTTGGGTAAATACCCAGTAGTGGAATTGCTGGATAATTCTATTTTTTAATTTTTTGAGGAACCTCCATACTGTTTTCCACAGTGGCTGCACCAGTTTGCATTCCCACCAACAGGCACGAGGGTTCCTTCTTCTCCACATCCTCGCCAACACTTGTTGTTTCTTGTGGTTTTGATTTTAGCCATTCTGACAGGTGTGAGGTGATATCTCATTGTGGTTTTGATTTGCATTTCCCTGATGATCAGTGATGTTGAGCATCTCTTTGAATATTTCTTAATAAACTCTCCAAGTAATCTTATTTATTTTTAATTTATTTTTCTTCAAGCAATTTTAATATGAAGCTAGAGTCAAGAACCAAAGCGGTGACATATAGTTCTCTCAGAGGCTGTAGGAACAACCAGGTTGGGGGAACTTAATAGAATGCTTGCCCACAGCAGGATCGGAGAATTGCCATTATGGGGAGCATCAGTCGTTCCTGATTTTTCCATGCTTCTCTTCTGAGTACCTTAGCATATAGTAGTGGTTTCTAACATGTGATCACCAAACCAGCAGCATCAGGGTCACCTGTGAACTTGTTCGAAATGCAATTATTAGGCCTCATCACAGAAATACCCAATCAGTAAATCTGGGGGTGGGGACTGGTAATCTATGCTTTAACAAGCCTTCTGGGTGCTTCTGGCAACTCATTAAAACTAGAGAAACATTGGCATAAGTAAGATGGTAATATAACCCAGCTAAGTTAAGTGTGATCAAGAGAATAATTTATTTCTTCAGTACTTGACCAGAGCCTTAAACTGAGGACTAGCATGGGCTCGTATGTGGATGGCAGTGGGACTTAAGGCAGGAGAACAATAGTGGTGGGGGGGCAGGTAGGTAAGAGTCAGCTGATCTACCTGCTTCCTCTCACATGGAAATTTTCGTTCCTATTTGAGAAGCTGTACAACCAGTATGTTTTGATGTTGCACTTTAGTTGGTATCTCCAACCAGATCTGGATGTATGAGGAAACACTGAGGAACAAGTCAATAGAAATAGAAAGATGATTTGAATTCCTCATATGAGGAATTCTTGATCTCAGGAAACAAACTGAGTGTTGCTGGGGTGGTGGGGGGTGGGAGGGATGGGGTGGCTGGGTGATAGACATTGGGGAGGGTATGTGCTATGGTGAGCGCTGTGAATTGTGTAAGACTGCTGAATCACAGACCTGTACCTCTGAAACAAATAATACATTATATGTTAAAAAAAAGAAGATAGCAGGAAGGGAAAAATGAAGGGGGAGAAATCGGAGAGGGAGACAAACCATGAGAGACTATGGACTCTGAAAACAAACTCAGGGTTCTAGAGGGGAGGGGGTGGGGGATGGGTTAGCCTGGTGATGGGTATTAAAGAGGGCACATTCTGCGTGGAGCACTGGGTGTTATACGCAAACAGTGAATCATGGAACACTACATCAAAAACTAATGATGTAATGTATGGTGATTAACATAAGATAATAAAATTTAAAAAAAAGATGATTTGATAAGTGTTAAAGGGAAGGAGGAAGAGAGGCGGCACAGAAGCAGACACTGGATCAGAAGTTAGAAGACTAATTTTAGTAAAATAGGCAGCTCAATTATGTCAATCCTAGGAGAGTTTCTCAGTTGGTAATGATGCTACTTATAGCAGTAAACATGGAACAAAACAAGCACTTTGTGAAGGTAGCTCTGAGACAAACAGCAAGTTTTGCTGATGATAGCCAGAGATCCCTTGTCATAGTTAGTAAATTAAAAGTGTTCCCCTGGGCTCCATATATTCATTATCATGAATCCATCCCCTGCAAATGCAGACAAATCCAGACAAATCCAGTCCCACGATGCACTGTACTCTGTCAGTGGCTACTCATGTGTGATATTATTTTCCAGGTGATAGAAAGACAACAAGCTTAATGCAATTTTGTTACCAAGGTTGCTTCTAACTTTTTAATTTCTGGTTCATGGGAAGGCAACATGATTCCAATAACTTTTTTCTTCACTGCTTTTCTTTCACTTCAAACCTGGGTTTGAATACAGGCTCCTTTACTTATAGGCTGTGTTACTTAATGTCACAGGATTTCAAATTTCTCAGCTGTATGGTGGGAATGATAACATACCATCAGCTGGGGGGCGCCTGGGTGGCTCAGTCTGTTAAGTGCCTGACTCTTGGTTTCTGCTCTGGTCATGATCTCAGGGTCGTGAAATCAAGCCCTGCATTGGGCTCCACGCTCAGTGCAGAGTCTGCTTGAGATTCTCTCTCTCTCTCTCTCTCTGCCCCTCCCCTGCTCACACTCTCTCCCTCTCTCTCCAAAATAAATAAATTAATTTAAAAAAAAATACTCTCAGCGGATTTTATATGATACCATATTTGTGCTATACCCAAGACAAGGCATGGTACATCTTCAATTAGCGCTCAATTAGTAGAAGCTGTTTCCTGCATATTACTTCTGTATATTATTTTAAAATTCATGACTGCAGCCTGGTAAACAATCACCTGGTCTACCTATGTCAAGCAGGAGCTGCAGCTAGCCATCTGACTCACCATAGAGTTTGTCTTCCCCATTCAGGCCCTCTAGGGAACAGAAAAGCCCATGTGAGTATAGCCAGGTGGACTGGGCTTTATGCCTCCAATGACTGCTCATAAATGCAGACCACCCTCATGCATTCACACATACACAGAGTGGGACAACTTTTTTCGTTGGACTGATGCAAATCCAAATGCTTCTCTTAGCTTCCAAGTGATTTTGAGTTTTGCTATTCGTGGTTATCGAAGCTGCAAATATTTTGTGACAGTGTTCTCGTGGCTTAACCAAACCAATATAATACTAATCCAAAGCAAGTTCAACAGCAAATCCCAAACTGGAGAAGCCCATGTCCACAGTGAGATAGCACGAACCCTAGATCAGTAACCCTTGTATGGGTTATAGTGAAAAACTGATAAGCTACATCCTAGCTGGACAAGAAGGAGATGTAGGGTTGCCAACACTTCTCACTGTGTCTGGATTAATCCTACTATTGGGATGTAACATGCCATGAGAAAAGAAGGTTAAACAGTTATCTGAAATAAGGCCCACCACTCCCCTCTGGGGCTTATTCAGTAGGCTGAGATCTGAGGTGCCCGCTCAGGTCAGCGGTGCTGGTTGGCCTCATCCTGCTGATTGGAATTCCGTTGATAACAGCACTAATCAAGTGTTGTGCGAAAACTGAATGCAATTGGTCTCAGCCTTTATTAGAGTATCTAATCCAAGTGGCAGAGCAGTAGCATTTTGGTGGTTCCCCATTGTGCAAGAAATTACAAATTCACTGGTTATACAAAATACATATTATCTTAGAATTCTGGAGGTCAGAAATCTGACATGGGTCTCACTTGGCTAAAGCCAAGGTGTTGATGGAGCTGCATTGTTTTTTGTAGGTTCTAGGGGAAAAATTGTTTCTTTAATCAGAGAGTGTTGGAAGAAGTTAGTTCCTTGAGGTTGTGGGATGGAGCTCCCTATTCCCTTGTTGGTTGTCACTGAAGAGACTTTCTCAGGTTCTAGACACTGACTGCAATCCTCGGCCTGCTATCCTGTATATCTTAGGCTTATGGCCCCCTTCCTCCATCTTCAAAGATGGCAATAGTGGGTCAAGTCCCTCATGTTCTACATCTCTCTGATGAACTCTCTTGCCTTACTTTTTCACATTTAAGGACCCCTGTGATTACATGGGCCCCATGGAGATATTCCAAGATAATCTCCCTATTTAAAGTCAGCTAATTAGCAGTCTTAATTCCACCTGCAAATTTTCTTTTCCCATATAAAACAATACATTTCGAAAATCCAGGGGTAGCGTGTGGACATCTTGGGGGCCATTTTTCTATCATTAGCATACAGTTATAAAAATGTAAACTTGGCCAAGAATATATCGGACCGACGGGTCAATTGTTGAAAGACGCGGTTGATTATGACCCTGAACATCCCTGCACATCATTGCAGAATGCACTCTGAGGTAGCTAGTCACGTAGGTAGCTAAGTTGGTCAAGGTGACCACCACAAGGTGACTCCTTTACTGCTATTCAATCTCTAGGAAAGGGCATCTGGCTCAGCCCTCATGCTGCTGAGAGCATGTGGAGCCACCTCTGGTCCATACATCACCCAGTGGGACTTGGAGACAAGGGAACTAGCCCAACCATGCTGGTACTTCTGCCTTTTGCTGTGTTGTAACACTCTTGCTCTGATCCACTGAATTTTGTTGTCTACTTGCAGTACATGTGGAGTACTGGCAAATGGATCTGTTTATTAATCATTTCAGTGTATTGAATTGTGTCCCTAAAAAGATACGTCTAAGTCCTAACTCCAGGAACTATAAATGTGACCTTACTTGGAAATAGTCTTTAAAGATGTAATTAAGGATTTCAAGATGAGATCATCCTGGATTTAAGATGTGTTCTAAATGCAATGACTGATGCCCTTATAAGAAAAAGTCAGTAATATTTGAGAAACAGA